TGTGTGTGTGTGTGTGAGAGAGAGAGAGAGAGAGAGAGAGAGAGAGGAGAGAGAGGAGAGAGAGAGAGAGAGAGAGAGAGAGAGAGAGAGGACTAGCACCAGGCTCTCTGCACAGTTGAGTGGGGAGGTGAATTTGGGTCCTCTCTGCCTGTTCCTTGCTTCCAGGCTTAGTCTGGTCAGATGGTCCGATCATCATCTTCCCTTGGGGCTACTCTTGGCCGTGACGAACTCACCAGCAACAGCCGGGACCCCTAGGGCTGCCAGCTACATTCCTCCCAGCACCAGAGAGTTGGTTTTCCAGAAACATGTCTTTGCTCTCTTTCTCCACCTAGGAAAGGGGGAGCAGGCGCGTTGTTACCTTTTCTTTTCGTACCTCTCTCAGCAAATTCCTTCTCCCCTGCCAGGTTACTCAGATATATAAGCTTTACCTGTGGCTTAGGCTCCAGTCTCCAACCCACCCCAGTGCACTCTCTTTGGTAGTCACCCAATTTTGATCTTCTTTGTCCAGTGGGTTTAGGAGGTGGGGGATGGAGGAGGAAGTGAACTCCTTAGAACCTTCTGGGAAGTGCTGTATATGTGGAGAGCTGTGAAGGCTTCTAACCTCTAAGGGAAAAATTGAACAGAAACTCAAGGGAAGATATTTCAGGGAAGTCACTGACACCCAGCACCACGACTGTCATTCCCTGGAGTATTCACAGATCCTTGGTGGTTCCTAGAACCCTCAGTCTTCAAGCTCCTTGTCCCTCCTTCCAGATACAAGTTTCCTCATCCTCCCACATTTAAAGTCAGTGTCCAGTGAGAGAGTTCAGCGGCTCACCCTCTGTGCAGAAGCCGAAGCAAGCTGGCTGGTCACTTTGCATTCGATAGGGTGGCAAGCCACAGGGAAGTTGAGAATTCATCCTTCTCTTTTCTTTTGCTCATCTACCTCAGGAGTGTGTTGGCGCACTGCATAGAGCAGATCTGTCTTTTGAGAAATCTTTCTTGTAGTGCAGTTCAATTCTGTTTGAAATACAAAGAAATCACACTGCCCTTAATAAATTAAATTTTAATAAAACACATTAAGTCCAGTAAAATATGAATGCACTACTTAAAATTTTAGTAGTAAATTAGGACCCAGAAGCAAGGAGGCAGTGGTCTGTCCTCCTGGGATGGCTCCAGGCATCAGTCAATTTCTGGGTGGGAGATTTGTACTGCAGGGACCCTGCTGCTGCTGGCAGGCATCCTTGGTGGACTCCTCTTCGCCTGGAGGAAGGAAGTTCACATCTGTCTGCATCTGCCAGTGGATGGGGCAGAAGCTATTGTCAAACAAAGGCTGGGTGAGAAGAGAGAAACCCCAGCTCTAACCGCAGGATTGATAACTTCCTAGCCCTTTGCTTACCCTGCCCTTCACCCCGTGGGCTTTGATCTGCTCAAGTGAGCGTGAATGCTGACAGAGCCACTGAGTTTTGGATAGGTGCCTTTGCAGACAACAGTATATTGAGGGCATGCTAAGCAAGTTTCTAATCTGGATCCATTTTGCTTCTGCCCTTTGGATTTATTGCCAACTTCCCAGCAATTTAAATCCCCATGCTAAGGAGGGAGGGGGTGGATCTGGAATCTTTTTTCAAGATCAGCTTCCACATTCTACAGTCACTGAAGTACTTTGCAGCAATGCCTTTGGGCAAGACTGAAATGGGTTTTATTGATATCACCACGAGGATGTTGGTATTCTGGACACTCCTGAATGGAGAGCTTGCAAGATTGCAAGCCCTGCTGATGAAGGAAGAATTGAATTTTCTCTCTAATGCAACACTATCGCTGCTGTTCATTTTTCACTTTGAGTAGGAAAAGAGTGAAACTCTGACTTGACTCTTAAAAATGCACCCACCCATTTTCTAGGAGGAAGGAAAAGGGATAGTTTCCAGGAGGAAGAAAACAGTTTCTGTCTGCTCACACATTAAGCTCTGTTTGGTAATTAGATAACAGTGGTGTCTCTTTTGTTGTCTGGAATTAGAGATATCACTGAAAAAATATTTTAGAGATGGAGAAAAGTTATTCAAGGTTAATTTAATGATGTATGGAATTCAATAATCAGGAAAATAGTTTCATGGGCATTTTCTTGCTCAATGAAATAGTTTAGTCAATAAATTCCATATCAAGCAAAGTTTGCCCAGTCAGTTCAACAGTACCTTCTGTATTTCATGAATTTATTATGCTACCTTATTTACCATATAAAGTCGTGACAAGTGTTTAGCATTTTGGAGATCAGTTGTCAGTTGGTATTAAAATCAAGATTAATTCATATTAACGATATGCATTTCTCAATACTCCCAGGTGGCAACATACATTAATACAACTATTACAAGTGATTAAGCTCAATGAAAGAGGAGGGACATGGAGAGGTTCAAAACACCCCAAATATTTGATTTTGCAATTCAAGTTCAGCAGACTGTTGCCACAGTAGAGTTTGGACAACTCCTCAGGGTTGCTTTTGGCTTTACATCTAATTAGACACCTAATGAAAGAGAAGAATTCTTTCCCGTGTGGCTTTTCTCCTTGGCATTGCCATGCCTTTATTTATACACATAAACACACTATTTAGGAGTTGAAATACCACAAAGTTTTTCTTCTTCTGTATACTCTCACTATAACAACCTGGCGGAACTGGGGAGGGTGAAAAGATTGTCCTCCCGATATTTCCAACTTGGCTCAGAATTTCTTTGCCCATGTGGTCCTCATTCACTCGATACTGATAAAAAAACACACCCACATATCTTAATGGCTTTTTATTAGGCGTTTGAGACGCTCTACAGTTTATACTAATTAGACCATCCAAAGCCTTTTGAAGATTAAGCAAATTGGACAACCCTTGTTAATTAGAACATAATTTGAAGTTTGAAATTATATCACTGATGAAGTAGTCTAATTAGTATGACGATATGTTAATGGACCAGTGAGACACGGCAGTGGAGTTTGGCACGGACCTCTCTAAAGCATGCACACACATTCTTTCTCTTACGCTGGCTTAATAAAAGATTTCTATAGACTCAAGCTTTTCCACGGTGACACACAATTTAGAGTACACACAATGCCCACAGTGCTGTTCAGTTTTTCAGTATTATGAAAACTAATAAATTCGTCAAGCTGAATTAAGCATACAAATCAGAAGAGGCATAGCAGATTACAGAGTGAAGCTCGGTGTCTCCCGAGTCTAAATGAAATTTCAATCTAATAATTCCTTCCTGGCTGGGTCATAATTTGTTTAGAGATGCTGTTCTACTTCTTTCAAAGCGCTGTTCGCGCTATAATTAAATGATACTCAAGCTTTTAACTTTGATTTATTTCATTTCGCGAAGCTTGAGACAGTGAGAACCGCACAATGTTATTACTATTTTTTTTATTTCCTTGAAAATTACCTTGGCTGTTGAGGTAGAAATTAAACACCTAAGCACTTACTTGAACGGTCTTGCACAGCCGCGTTCTTTCATGTCAACACCCCCCTCTCCGAGTCCCGTGCCCAGGCTTCTCCAGGCTCTCGCTGGAGAGCCTTGCTGGCAGGAATCTCCTTTGGCTACTGGGGAAAGGCTGGCTCCAGGCTGCCGGAGAAAAGCAGCAGAGGCTTCAGCACCGCGGACAGAGCCTCCGCCGCGCCGTGAGCGCTGAGGTTTTCCTTGGCCAACTCCAGCCGCGGCGTTCCCAGCTTGAACCTGCCAGCTCGGGCGTGAGGAGGTCGGGGAGGACCGGCCTGCCCTGCTCGCCGCCGGCCCCGGGCGGATCCCGGAGGGCTGCCCTTTCCAGGCCTGCCCTCCACTTTGTTTTGGTCCCGGCGCGCCACTGCCTCTCAGGCCTGCCGCCTGCTCTGGCCCCTGCTCGCCTTCCCAAGCCCCCAGCGCTGCACCTGCTCCTGGTCACCCGTGTCCGGGACCCGCCACCGGATCCGCACCCAGCGTGTTCGGCGCCCTGGGGACCCAAGAGGAGCCCCAAACGCCGCAGGAAGTAGAGGAGGGATGGAGACGTGAAGGGCAGGAACTAGACTGTGTTGGGGGGGCATGGGGAGGGGACCCCTCTCTCTGCTTTTGCAACTGGAACTCAGGATGTGTGTCCACTTCTAGGAAAAGTGGCCGGCACTAGCACCAAAGTACGAGCGAAGTGCAAGCTAAAAATAGTCTCTCCGCGCACAGCGACTGTGGAAATGAAGATAAGTGGGACTTACGCCAGCCCCTGAGGGTGTGTGCTGTGGTGTGGGGTGGTGTGTGTGTGTGTGTGTGTGTGTGTGCGTGCGCGCGCGCGCGTGTGTTGTGGTGGTGGCATTCGGCAGCACATGCGCTTTGTATTTCTGGCCCGTCTCTTCCTGTCAGTTGGTCCTGTGGCTTTGATTGCAGCTAATGAAGAATAATAAATCCAGGGTCAGGGTTTGCCGGGACCCTCCCCAGCCCCAACTCACCCTGCACTGGACACGGGGAGGGGGTGGGGAGGGAGGGGGAGGCGGGGGCGAGCAGTGTGTGTCTGTGCTAGAGGGGGCTCTGCCCATAAAGGGGGGAGTCGCATGCGCACAGACGACCCTGGCGGGCGGTGCGGCTGTCCAATCCGCTGAGAGCTGAGGGAAACCGAGGGAGAGAAAGCCCCGCAGCCGGGCAGAGCCGCGTCTTTCTGCACCAGGCACCCGCCGGGCGCTGGGGGCGCGGAGCCCGGGGCTGAGCCCGGCGCGCCGAGGCGGAGCGCGGAGCGGAGGCAGCAGCCGGGGCGCCGCGGCGTGCGGACCCACCGTGGCCGGCGGCCGGGGCCCGGGGCCCGGGGGCGCCGGAGCCGGCGGGCGGGGAGGGCCCCGGAACTTAGTGGTGAGCGGGGCGCGGAGGAGCCGGCGGCCAGGTAAGGCGCCCGCGCGGCGCGGGGCCGCTGGCTGCCGGGCGGCTCGGAGCGCAACTTTCGGGGAGTTTCTTCCCGCCGGGCGGCCCGGGCCCCGACCGCCCCGAGGGTGGGACTGG